TATTTTATGTATACAGAAATCATTTTAAAATTTCAAAATATTGCACTAGCAACCAAGAATTACTTTCTTTAATTCTTTGGATAATACTTAAACTTAATGGGATAATCATATTACAAGTACATCATGCTTTAAAATGTTTTCTTTCAGTACTAATAAACACGAAATGCGAGACAAAGAGTGACTATCTAAAAAGTCAACAGGTATGTGCGCTTAAATTGCATACCTAAGTATTATAACAAAAAATTCTTTGATAGAAATCTCAAAAGTATAAAGAAAATGTTTTTAAAATCATTTTCATTATTAATGACGAAAACATATCACGGGAATATCGTTAATACACTTGATCTGTTGTAAAAATAAAACGGGTGAATTACTAAATCGCATTTATATTTTTCAAGTTCCCACCAAATAAGTTTTTAAAAAGCGTGTGCGCATGCAGACTTAAACGCCTAGTACCACAGTTTAATGTTCAAGTTACCTTTCCAAGAAAACTGCCCTTTTGATACTTCTTGTTGGTCTTGTTGTCGAAAATCACGTCAGGAATACGGACTTCTTCTTCTTTTGATCTAGACGACATGTTGGCTATTGAAGATTGAATATTAACTTGATATTCGTTTCACGTCCGGTATCGGAACGACTGACAAGTGGCAATCACGAATTCAACAATTAACAATACTGTACTAACTACCGTGTTTAGCGACAGACGTATACGTTAACAAAGAGATTTGGAAGAGCAAAACGTAAATGTAATAAAATTTAGCCGTTGCGACGTTTGAAAGAGTTTTTAATGATGATAGTAATGACGGTAAATAATAAATATTAAATAATAATAATAATAATAACAATACAGTTTTGTTTGATTAGACGACAGGAACCAGTATAACGGCAGCCCCGGGGGTGGCGGCGGATAGGTTATGTACGTGTGTTTGCGCGCCCGTCGAATGACATAAATCGGCAAACGTTCGGTTTGGTGGTCATAGACTCCAAAGGACAACAGCAGTGAAACGTTAAACAGCAAACGATAATACTCGTGGACGGGTTTAACGGCGACGACGGACAACGGGCACCAGCCGCGGAACAAGACGTTATGAAAATAACCGTTAAATTGAAAAATACGTTTGGAAACACACCGCCCACCGACTATGCCCACCGAGCGCTACACGACAACGAACAGTGCGCAATGCGCGATGCGATCACCATTACTTAATGGCGGTGGGTGGCGGTGGAGTGCGAACGAACGGCAGTTGGTCTTGGAAGAATAAATCACGCGGCTACGACATAATATACAAAATATTCAAAGACTTCGCAGTTCGTACTGTTCGTAGTGTTCGTACGTGTATCGTCCATGCTCAATCGTAATGGCTTATCGACCATCGGGACTTTGGGAATCTGAAGTCTTTCATTGTCGGTCTAATGCAGTGGTTTTCAACCGGTGTGTCGCGATAAATTTATTAATGGAGTTAATTTTGTATATATATATATGTGTGTATTATATATAAAAATATATGCTTCACGCCTTCACGTATTATATGAATTGGTGTGCCACAAACATTTTGTAGAAGAAGAAGTGTGCTACATTGTTAAAATGGTTGAAAACCACTGGTCTAATGCAAACGTGCAATCTCAATAAAACTCTTGAAATTTAATATTTATTGTTATGCGTGATAAACGAATCATATTACTTATTGCTTTGAATTGTTATTCTGTTATTTGTTGTGAAGCAAATACAAATATACAATATGATTAAACTGATAAAAAGTATATAATAATATTGTACAATATATCAATAATATATAAACATCACACATTGATACTAATACAGCATAATTATTATAATAATCGTTCTGGGTGTGTTTATGGGGGTGGCCTCTGCCCTCTGAGGCCTAAGTGGGCTGCAGCCTCCCACGAAATATCTGGAAACAATTTCAAGTGTTTAAAATATATTGCCAAATTGGTAATACAATATTTTAGATTCTGAGCGGAGCGATAAACGTATATTGATCTCAGTAGTTTTCAATTTTACGTATAATTTTTATGTTTTCAGAAATAAAAAAAAAGCTGCGAACACTAAAAAACACTTCTTACTTCCCACTAAATTTTACTTTTAATAATCAGAATTTTAATCTAGTTTAAAATATATATACATTAAAAAAACATGAGTATTTTTTTTTTTTAATATTTTGCAATATACATTTTTAAACAGTGAAATGATAAGGAGGTACATAGAAAAATTATAGTTGATTAAATTTTTAAATTTTAGTAACATTTCACCACCTTATCAGCACAGAAATTAAAAAATAGTATGCTGGAGTCTTTTTGAATACTACGAAAGTATTTGATACCATTTTTAACTAAAAAGTATAATTTTTGCTTCTTTATATCTAATGCCAAAATCGCTCCTATATTGCCTTTATTAATCAAAATTATTTTTTTGAAAACTCTTCTTCAACCATTTTGGGCGTGTAGTATTACTTGGGGCACTGCTAAGAATTCAAATAAAAGACAATACAAGTTTTCTAAAATATCTATCTGCGTGGAATCATTAATCAATGGCGCACCCTAGACCCTAGTTCGTCCCAAATGACTACTCTCTTCTACAGACGCTTTCATGCCAAACTGCAAGATAATACCAACCAATATACGAGCTAACATCACTTATACTTCCCGAAAACCCGATCAGACGTCTTATGAGGAACTGGTATCACAAATTGATAATGTAAGGGTTAAGCATTTAAAATATTAAGAGATGTCATAAATATATGATTTCCTTTTCATGTGAAAAAACTCATTCAACTTTATGTAAACTATGTACATTACTTATTATACATACAAACGTATAGATTGTAATTTATCAAAATAAAACTAAAAATTTAATAAAAAAAAACATAAAATATTTCACCAGTATATAAACAGATTTTTATTTGTGAAAAAAAAAGTATAGTTCATAAAATTAAAAATTAGTTTGTAGAATAACACAAAAGAACGTATACAAGTATAAAAGAAAATCAGAAATTCACAAATGTGAACTTTAGTTTTAGAATTCAATTTTATATATATAATATATTGTATACTTGAAACATATGTTAATATTTATTAACTTTTAATTGTTTCAACAAAATCTTTATTTTTGCAATGTTATGTTAATATATAAAAGCTACATATTATTTAAATTGATTTGTTAATAATTAATAATAGTAAATACTTTAATAAAAATAGTTTATATAGTTATGAATAAATATTTTTATTGAAGTAATAATTAATTACAGTACTGCAGTACAATAAATTTCCCATGTAATTGTTAAACTTGTGTGAAGAGGGGGCCATGGTATAGTTATTAAAATAATATGTGAATAGTACTACTAAAACATTGTTATCTTACTGGATAAAAGTTCACATTACCAGTTAAAGGTTTTAGACAAATTAATTAAACATCAAAATATAATAATATTATTGAAGTTACATTATATGAAACATCTAACAAAAATGTTAAAGTCTGGATTCAGTTTACCAACGCCTCAAACAAATTGCCACATATCTTCCTCGTTTTTTTAAAAATCAAGTGACTGTCAATATTTATACTTATACTTAACCAGTTATAGAGTATATAGTTGGTTAGGTAAATTCCACTACTCGAACTGTTAAGTGGTAATGCAAATGGAGTTGTTATAAATTTTTTAAGTGATACTTTACAGGTACTAGTAACTTATATTCTGCATTAACTGAATCAAACATAATACAGGAGCATTTATATAGATTTACTTAATATCTGAAATAGTAATAAAATACAATACACCATTACCTGTAGAATAATCTTACCTAATGGTGGTATTGAAGACTACATGAGTAGTAGAGTACAAGTTGAACAATACATTTATACATGACAGTGAAATTTATTATCATTCATCTACAAGGTAAATTATTACACATATGGTAGATTTAAAATTATATGTATGACTAATTTTTATACTTCAACATTTAGAAATTGAGGTAACAGTTAAATTTTTAAAGTTCTTTTTCTAAAATTTTATGATTTTAATAAATTTTAAGATTGTTTTAGGAGTTTAAGCTGTTAAAATATTGACTTATGAATACAAACATTTTTTTCAATTCCATTTTTACCGGGGATTGAATTTTTTAAATTTTTTAATAAGTATAGATAACTGATATTAATATTCCAAATGGTTGTTTTTGATTATTTGTAATAAACTCACAAAGATAATATTAACAATAATAGTTTTATTGAAATGTGGTACCTTATTTAAAGCATATGACCAAATAGAATTAATTTTTAATATTATTTTAAGGGCTTAAGGAATTTCACTGAGTTATTTATTCATCCAATAGTGCATAACAAATTAATTTTATTACAATGAATGCAAATTTTTCTCATAATTATTTTGAAAATCTGTAATATAATGCTTTACATTGATATAAGACCATAAACTAAAAGATCTAATAGAGTAACAAGTCATACAATACATGTTACCCATTACTTAATGTTTAACGAGTATAGTTTAGATGCTATTTCCATTGCGCTATATATTTTATATAAATATTAAATAGATAAAACTGGTATAATAATTTTAATAACTTGATCAAAATTGAAAAACATCAAGATTAGCCACCTGAATTCATAAAGATAGTTTATGAATATATTTAACAGTTGAATTATACTTAATTTCTAAATAAAACTAAAAAATGTATTAAATTTTATAGTTGAAGGGAGAGGTTAATAGTATTTTAGTAGTTGGATGATAACAGATGATCAGATAATTAGTAGAAATATTGCATGCAATATACTCTACAGGATTAATGTTGTATTTTGAATAATTAAAATAAAGCAATAGAAAAAAACAGAATAGTTATGAATTTATATTATTTATGATTAAACAATCAAGAATAATTAAGTTAATATCATATTTATTGTATGATTATTTTATTCAAGATACAACATTTTGGATTGTTTAAATTAAAATATGGTTGAAAAAAATAACACAGACTTGAAATATTAATAAATAATATTTAATTGTAAATTTCAAATATTTCATTTGTATAGAATAAAAATGTATTCTATACCAATTTCATTCAATATAAAAGTTGAACAGAAATATTTTCCTATAAGGTTTGAGTTTATACTTATAACTGTAATATTCATGAAAAAGAAAATAATAACTATTTGATTAAGACTGTTAATAATTATTACGGTTATCTCTTCGTTGTCTATTCCAATCCTGTCCACCATGTCCACCATGTCCTCCATGGCCACCGTGCCCACCATGCCCACCATGTCCACCACCACCTTGCCGACCAAAGTTTTGTCTATATTGTCCTTGATTTTGATTGCGGTCTCTTGGGAAAAAGTTTCCTGAAGAAAAATTAATAATATATATATAATCTCATACTTGCATCAAATAATTTTATATTCTTTGCTTTAATTTACCTTGTTTCATTTCAAAAATCCTTTCATTGGAGTCCACAAAGTTATTAACTTTATCAGCCAATTGTAGAGCAAGTGATTGTAACCTACTAGGTTCACTACGATGCATAACAACTGTTTGTGTGGGATCATCAAGAGAAGCCATTAATTCTTCATTAATTATCATTTTTGAGATAATAGAATGAGTGGTGCTTTTTGGGAGTTCAAACATCTCTGATAATGTCTTCATTGATATAGAGTTGTAAACATGAGAATAAGTAAACAGGTATGTACGCAAAGATTCTTCTTTAATCAAACGTTCTAACATATCTCTTACTCTATCACTTTCATAGAACAATTCCCATACCTGTTAACAAAATCCTTAATTTAATAAAAATAAAAAATAAAATTTATCAAAACTATACCTTGGCATTCATTTTTTCGTTGATTATAAAATTACGGGATGCAGACCAATTTCCATTTCTCATTGCTTTACTAGCAGCAACAACATGTTCTCTCATTGATTCTGGAGGACCAACTAAAGACTGACGTTCACTAGAACGTAGTTGTTGATAAAATGTTTTGGAAATCATACGTCGCCGAGCATCAAACTCATGAGCTAGATTATATTTTTAAAATTCAATCAAGAAATGTTTTTACATAGTATAAAGTTTATTTAATAGTATTTATAATTTGATTTACCAGCCATATATGGAATTTCAATAAGCATAGCTGACACCAGGTACACGCATTCCAAGAGTTCTAAATTAATATGCATATGGAAAGGCATTTGTCTTTGTTTTTCAACTTTTTCTTGTTCTTTGCTACGTTCATGTTGTCTCTATACAAAAATAAAATTATATTAGAAAATAATGATTAACTGTTTGTTATTAAGGAAACTATTAAATATTTACTTGTGGTAACAATCCCTGGGCTAATAACTCTTTCACTTTACCAGTCATCATTAGATCAACTAAACAGTTGTGCGCATCTTTTATGTTACCTTGACGAAATGCACACAAGCCAATATGTGCCATGGTACGATTGTAAAGAATCTATATTTAATTTATAAAATTCAATTAAATAAACTCAAATATGTATTTAAATTGGGAGGTACCAGACATTTTTGTCTCCAAAAAAAAAAAAACAAATTCAACAATTCTAATATTTATATAATACATACCTGGGTGGCAGGATCAGAGTGTTGAATGGTTTCTTGTAAATGAGACATAAGTACTAAATCTCTCGCTTGGAACCAGTTATCATGTAAGGCATGATGATATACATGACACAAAATTGCTCTAGTTCTCAAACGATCTGTAGAATCTTTGTCATAAATATATTTACATAAGTTCTCCATTATTTGAACATTTGTTTTATGTGATGCAAGTATTTCTCCCTAAAATTATATTATAGAGAATTAAAATAAAACTAACATAGTTCAAATTAAATAATTATCAAAGACATTATAAATAATATTCTACTAGTTGATATTGATTTATATAATTAAAAATATTAAGTTATTCATAAATAATACAAACATTATTAAAAAAAGACTATTACTGTTTCTACATTGTACAAAAAAGCATAAAATAACAGTGGAAATATGGTTAATTAAACATTATACATTAATATGTTCAATGTATATATTTTTACCTTCTTTTGCTTTAATACAAGTGGATCAAATTTGTAGTAGAGATGGTCAATTTTTCGCATATAAATACGACAAACTTCTGACTCAATATTTTGGTGTTCCAAAAACAGTTGAACTTTATCAATGATTTCACAAACACGTTTTTCATCCTTCAATCTAAATTTTATAATAAATACATTAAATCATAAAAACTAAATATAATATTAACAAAATACAAACCTTTGTACATAATCATTACTGTGAGGATCACATTCTTTCAAAAGTTTTGTGAATTCTTCATCCAATCGTTCAACAATTGTAAGCACACATCCTCGTACTCTAAAAGTAGGCTTGTCTAAAGTTTCAGCATCTTCTGCTACTGATTCTCCAATAAATATTGTGTCTTTAACAGGAAGAATTAAGTCCAGAAGTTCAACAATACAATCCAATAATCTAAAATTTATTTATTTTCTGTTAATATTCAACAATATATATACATTAATAATTATAAAACAGTTAACATACTTGCTCCAAATTTCTGGTTTCATAGCATCAGATACTTTAGGATTGTAATCAAAAATAGAAGAAATAATTGACATTTTTATTTTTACTCTTAATCCTAGTCCTAAACTATGAGCTTCTGAAATCAACAACAATTCATGTAACAGTTCAATTTGTTCTCTTCGATCTGTACGCTTCTTTCCACGAGCAGCAATTACTTCAGTTAATTTACGTAAAACAGCTTCTGGAGTAATTTCTGCATCTTTTGCAAACATTTTTGGTTTTTCCTAGGAGAAAAAAAAGGAAATTGAACAATAACAAATCATTTTAAGTAATATAATTTATACTAAATAATATTGACTTACAGACGGAATAGCTACTCCTCTTCGCACTTTTTGCCATTCAGAATCACTTTCATCTTCTTCTTCTCGTTTTAATTTTTTAGGTTTTTCCTTGCGTTCTTTTTTCTTTTCTTTCTTTTCATCATCGTCTTTATCAGTTGATCTAGTATTATAATATTTTTTAAGATATGAGATAATAGGAATAATAAGTATTAGTATTATATACTAAAAAAAATTAACTTACTTTTTCAAAAACCGTTCTCTTATACTTTGATATTGACCTTCATCTTCACTGCTAGAAGAAGAACTTTCAGAGTCACTGCCCCAATCAAACGAATCATCACTGTCAGAATCACCACCAGCTTTTGGAGCCTAAATTAAAATATTGATATTATAAAAAGTATCTATGATTGAAAAAAAATAAAATTTAACTAAAAAAAAAAGAATTTTAACCTTAGGTATTTTTTCTTCAGTTTTCTTGAAAGAAGCAGCTGGAGCTTCATCTTCACTTTTACTTTGATCAGAATCTACATCTTCATCTTCTTTTTGGTCTTCTTCTTGGTCCGGTAGATCAGGATTTTCTCGGAATTTAATTAAATCGCTCTCAAAATCTTTTACATACTTTCTAAATTTTTGTCTAAGAGAAGCCAAACTTTTAGAGTTATTTTTTGATAAATTTTTACGTCCCACTCTATCATCCCAAACATCATTAATAAAATCTTCCATTTCAACTAAGCAACGGACAAAAAAACGTGGTGCTATTCCATTTTCTTCTTTTAGTATAACCGCATTGAATGCTTTAGTGTATGCACGGGTTAGTTCCTCAAAGCCTATAAACAGTTTTATGATATAAAGTGAATCTTTATTTAAGTGTTTATAAACTTACTGGTCAGCAAGCTACTCATATCTTTGATTTTCTTATGATTTCTGATCTGCTTAATTGTCATTGTCAATTCTTCATATCGTTTTTCTTTTAGTGACCGTACAATACGTTTTGTATCTTCTTCATCATCGCTGAACTATAATCAAATAATAAAATTTGATAAATTACTAAAGCATTATATACACAATTAATTTTACTTTAATTACATGGTTTAATCGTAGAAACTGAATAAACTTACTTTTGTAAACTTAAGATAAAAACATGGTAATATACTACTTTTATTTTACAAAATAAAATACTTCTAACCTTAAAACATTAAGAAAATCTAAAAAAGATATCCGAGCACAATTTATAAATGATAAACTATTTTTCTAATAATTTATTAATATGATGAAAATAAAATAATTTCATAACAATAGCTTTCTGAAAATATATCTTTTTTAAAGTAAAGATGTTATGGGAAAAATAATTTAAAAAATGTAATTATTTTTGATATTTTAGTATTAAAACAGAGAATTAAAATTTACAAAAAAAAAAGTTTATTTTAAAAATGGTAAAATGTATATATACTTAGATAAAATGTATTATTATTTTTGAAAACATAATACTAGTATAGCATCAACTAAAATTGAGATATTTTAATAAATTTTATTTTTTAACAATAAATATAATCAACAAATAATTTTTATTTAGAAAATAGTAAAATATTTTATTTTTTCCAACCATAAATAGTTATTTCAATATCAAATTTCAACATTGATATTCTATCTTAATTCAGAGATTAATATTTTATATAAGCAAATAAATCAAGTTCTAAGTTATGATCCTTTGTAAGGAAATATAATAGTAGGATTTAAATGAATATGATAGGCAAATATAGATTGGTAAGTTCATTAATATTTTGTATTATTTACTATCAACTATTATATGTAACATTCAAAAAGAAATATATTTTAAAGAATAGTATAAGTAACCATTAAAGTAAATATTTATCGGTGTTATATTAAATTAGTATTCAACAAAATTAATGATATTTATGAAAGTTACTTACTGTGAAATTCGCTGTTGGTTGGCGGATAACCTGTTCTTCTTCGGACGATGTATCGGACTCGGAATCCGAGCCGGTAGCAAAGAATCTACTCATATTGGATAACTATGTAAGTAAATCTGCAACACAAATCACAACTATAAAGATATAAAACAACAGTTTTAATTAAACACAAACAAAATATTATGTACCTAAATACACGAAAAACGTGGAGTCGAAAAGACACACAGACAAAATTGTAAGTTGCAACCACAATGATTAAATGCAATGGTGGGGAAATAGGGAATAGTTCCACTGGTGAGCGTGGATGCTATGCGGCGATATTGATAAACAATATCACACCACGCCACACTGCAGTGTGGCCAAAATGAAATAACAGTCTGTGAAGGTGTCCAAATGTACTTTGATTTTCTACCGCCATCATATTTTTTCATATTTAATTACATTATTTTGATTACAAAAATATTAATGGCATGATGTTTGTTATTATGAACAATATGAACATCAAATAAACCATTCTCATTTAATGATTTAATATATAATCATTATATTATATGCTATAGCTTATAATGTTATGGAATATGGAAATAAATATTTTATATTGATTACTACAATAGAACGTTATTTTCCAAATAATAATTTTGTAATAATTGTATGATTTATTCGTTTACATTTAATTATTTAAAAATGCAATAAAGTTGAAATAATAATTGAATAAACTCAATACTAACAAATGTACTTAATTATGATTATCTCCAATATGGCAATATCGTCTGGCTATTAATGTAATTGGTATTCTACCGAATACATATCACTCGTTACATGTTATAGTATATTATGATGTATGATTCAAGTCCTAAGAATTCTAAGATATTACTGTTCGCGAATAGCTATCATCAAAAATTAATGTAACAATAATTTATTAATAACTTTTTCTGACAACTGGAGAACTTGTACATTAATAAGAAATTTGCAACAACAATGATTTTAATAAAATTAATTATAAACTTACAATTTGTGGAACATGAATTATTGAAAATATGCATATTATGTAGAATGTATGATTCTGTTATATGGGACAATAAATTTAATAACGTAGAGGAACAATGTCGATTATTTGAATATTATTTAGAATCTTATGTTGCGGTATTTATGTTTTGACTATTGCTCCAATCTTATAATTTAAGATCCATTAATTACAATTTTAAAAGACGGTAGCATTTTTGCCTCGGTATTTTATTAACTTTATTTACATATTTATAATTGTTATTATGACCTAATTACATTTTTTTTTTTATTATATCGTCATTATTATTATTATTATTGTTATTATTACATCCTTAGACAGATAAACGGTTTAACTGTACCTATATTAAGGTCTAAGTTTATTAAACCTTAATATACATAAATATATAATTAAGTACTTACCTAGGTTACCTGGCAGTGTATGAACACATTTATTAGTAAACGGAATTTTATTTACAAAAACGATAGACTAGATTAATTATTTTTTACTTTTTTTTAGCCATTTCTATTTTAGAAATTTTAAATTTATAAATACATACCAGATAAGTAGTGGTCTTTCAATTTTTTTCATTTAGTAAATTCTGAAGTTATGAATAGAACGCTACGTCCGCACACAGGTAATAAAAAGAAAAGTAATTGAAAAAAAGCAAAATGAAAAAAAAATGTGTCCAGCAGAACCCCTTTATGTTGGTTATCTTTAATACTGAAGTAAATAAACCTATTATTAAAATTAAAAGTGAGAATTTTTCTAGGTCGGTTCATAGGCTTTTATTGATATTTTAATTTTTAGTTACTAAGTTACAGCTATGTAAATAATTATTAAAATTTTAAATTCTCATAACTCATTTTTTTTCATCATAATTTATAATACTAATAAAAGCCTATATGGGCTCAATGCCGGATCTAGGACATTTGACGCCCGAGGCTAATAAAAATGCAGAGCCCTTAACTGGTACACTCTATATGTTGGCTATAAGAGGATCCATATTCGAGTGAAATCCGGGGTGTCTTGATATAAAAAAAATTAAAAATGTAAAGATATTAAAAATATTAATATTAAAACTTTTTTATTGTTGTAGAATGAACCTACATAAAAATCATATTTTAACATTTTACAAATATAAAAACATAATTTAAAGATCTCTTGGTTATTTTAATTTATCCATTAATATTTTTAAATCTAAAAGTTCAAAATGTTTTTTCTATTATTAATCGTTTTGGCAATATTATTTTCCAAATATATTACAGATAAGTTATTAAATCTTCCTTTCTTTGTATTAGATTGTAAAAATTATTTTATTAATTTTAGTTTACTAAAATGCTAGGCAATAAATTTGGGCAACGTAACTATCGGGAACGACGAAATTATTATAGTTTAAATATTATAATTATTTGAAAAATATTGATCAGTGCGCGACGTGCGCGTTATCGCTCATTTCTATTTATACACATTGTACTATTTGTACTTCATCCGTAATATAGGCCCATCACGGCATCACCACAGCTCGTAGGTAGCCAAGTCACGATGCTTGTTTGAGTTATGGGAAATGGGAACGCACTTTTATAGAAATATGTGATAATTTTACCATAGAATAATATTCTATGAACTATGATTGATTATTTTGTCATAGTATAATTAATGTTTTCTCAAATTCTCACCAGTTGATTTTTCTCCGAAAGCAAGATTTTATTAATTTTAACAAAATAATAAAAACGTCTGACGAATGAACATTTAAGACGTCTAAATCAGACAAAAACAGTTTTAAAATATAAATTCCTAAGAAATATATATGTAATATTTTAATTCATTTTCACGTTTCAAAATTGAAAAAACAAAAACTTGGAACATAATTTACCTAAACATTTTCAATACACCACAGCCTTTGGATTTTTCATAAATATAAGAGCTCCTTCATACTGACGACACCCTAAATAATGATACCCACTTTCCCCCATCACCTCTAGAACTGGCACTGCATTACAGATGTGAGGCATCGTCTTAAAGTTTTTAACTTTTTACCAGTTTTTTTAATTTCGAAATAATTAAGGATGATCTTTGGTTATCGCGACTACCAAAGACAGTTAAAATATAATATAAATATTAAATTGATTTAAATATAAAAATAAAATAAAATTTGATAAAATTAATAATTTACACGAGGTAGAAAATATTGTGATATGTTGGTTAGTATTTCGACGACAGAATAATATTAGTAGAGCTTGATACCACATAATCTCTTATCTCAACCAAACACCTATCGAGATTCGAGATGATGACGAAATATTTCCGTTTTTTTTTTTCATCAGTTAGCTGATCCCCACAACGACTACAATAATTGTTCAAATTCTGTGCGAGTATCTGTTATTGGATCTGCACAATTGTCACAATTGTATGTATGGTTAACTGTTTGATGATTGAAACCAGCTTTTTTTAATTCTTCTGTTTTATAACCACGCCAACAATCGAATCACAGCACCTTCTGGTTTATTGGTAAATTCCAAATTTGCATTTTAATAAAAAAAAAAAAAAACAGTCTTAGTTTTGACACTCTACACGTTAGAAGCACTCTCTAGTCTCCACACTCTACACTTACACATTTGACAGTGAAGTGAACAGTGATAACAGTATATTCACAGACATTCACTATATTCCACCACATGCATTTTAGGACGGAAGGCACTCGATAAATGACGAATTCACAATAATAGTCAGCAGATAAAATTTAAAAAAAAACTATTTAGCAAAAAAGAAACGTACAACGAACGTCTTACTTAGCCACTAGTATCCTGCCACTCTCAGGACCATCTGGTGTAAAGTCTCTAACATAATATATATATATATATATATATATATAATTTATATTTAACAGACAATAAAATTAAAAATGGCAAGTAACATGGAGAACTTTCGAGGTAACTCGCAGCAAGAGTGCCGGTCGCCGGACACGGAAATACTAATAAGCAATAACTAAAATGACTACTGGGCTAGGTGACATCGTAATGATATTATAATAATAATAATAACAATAGTAATAGCCGTTGGGAATATCCCACTACAATATTTTATTACGCAGCTTTTCGTGGAAATGGAATGCGATAAAAATGGAAATTCCATTTCTATGGAAAAACTAACTTATAACGTTCAATTATACGTAGGTAATTGCAATTACCAAAAAGTACCAATTAAGTCAATATTAAAAATATTTTTACAATTATTTGAATAGGTACCTATTATTATTCAAATTCCATTCTTCATAATATTAATATGCATCTATAATAATATATACTTAATACTTAGTACAAGCATATATAAAATAGGCAGTTTAACCCTTCTACCATAACGAATCAGGAAAATTTATTATTGAATTTATTTTTATAGAATAACTGGTTCCTGTCAATGAACTTCTTGTTATATAAGTATGAAAATGTACAATTTACACTAGGTACCCTCAAATTATTTTTTGTGTATGAGCCCGAATTATTACTTACTAAAATCGGAAACTTTAAATGGTTGCAAACCGGGCCTATAATAAATGAAACTTCGAACTCTTATAATTTTATATTAGTGGATACTCCCAAACTCAAACAAAATATTAATTAAAAAACATTTTTATTTGAAAACTTAACATACCATACCCGATTAAAATAATTCAAGTCATAACATAAAATAATGTTTAAAAATGCATTTTCCAAGTTCAATATAATTTGTATGGGTTCAATCATATTTTAAATTTTGAGCACAACGATGAATGTACTGATTTTTTTTTTTTTGTAGAAAAGTACACGATGAGAGTAGTTTTGGAAAATGTCAAATTTCAAAATGATCTTTTGAATAGTTTTAAGTAGTTTTTTATTTTTTATTTGCTTCTAATATAAAACTACTATAACTTTAACAATTAATATAAAAACACAATAATTATTAAAATTATTTAGATATTTTTAAAGTAGTAAAAGCTCATATTATTATAATAAAGATAATTAAGTGTCAACCTTTATTTGATAAAGTTGTTAGAAGTAACAGGAGGGGCTTTATGATAGCTGTAAACTCGGAAATATAAGAAGTTAATAATATGTTTAATTTGATGTTTGAATACTATGAGGACGATTTTGGTTAAAGGAAGTAGCTTGAGTAAATAATGGTTTATGGAAATCAGAATTTAAAATGAATTTAAGAAAGTTAACTTAAGAGTTAGGATTTTAAAACTTGGGAGCAAGAATGATACATTTTCGTTGAGTTTGACCGTTGGAAAGTTAATATTTTTTATAAATTAAGCAGTCTTTATAATTGGCTGGATGACTACTGTTTACCATGGCATAATGCATTGTGCAGTGTACACATCTGATTGGAGCGTTTGATGACATGTGCATATAGCATATATCATATCTGCGTTCTTTCTCAAATCTGATACATCGTGGATCGTGATTACAATAATCCTGAGTGTGTCTATAACAATAAGTCATAACTCACAAGTCAAGCAGCGTTAGTATTGAGCTGAACTTTTGGGTGGATAAGTTTTTTCGATAACTATTTTGATATACAGAAGAAATTCAATTTTCTAAATATCTAAGTTTTTGGTGACTTTTTTAGGTCGACAAAAAAGAGAGACAAAGGTGATTTATCAGAAAAGCGTTTAATATTATTAACATGAACCTGATATTTAATTTTTGAGAGGGAAATAATATCTTCACTTGAAGTAAATGGCTGGAGATTACGAATCACCCTCCGTAATGAAGTTTAACATATGCTGGTAAGTATGCAAATTGTAAATGTTTTCAATTAGATATTTAATAAATAGTTTGTAATATTCATAAAAATGAATACAGATCAGTCATCAGTTATGAAGTGTGTTTTTTTTACAAATAAATTCTGTAGAGTTAATAATTGACATCAAGTTTGCCTGTTTGCAGTAAAACTGGAAAAATTATTCACGCCTTTGATATACATTGGTGGTGGTTTTGGATATATTGTTTGAGTGTGAGTTTTTTTTTTTAAGTGTGCTTTAATAATTTTATTTGAGTCATCTTGTGTAGCAAGAACTAAGTACCGATTTAGACTTATAAATATTTTTTGTTTCTTATCCTCTACCTTAGTGGAAAGTAAAAACGACGATAGATTTCTTTTGCTTGGAATTGAATTGTTATACCACGTTTATTAAATGTTATTGTCTGCCATTATAATTAATAAGTAACAGCACAATATATAATTATTGTGCATGAAAAATCGATAACTGAACGAGCGCAATGATCGTACTTTTATTGTAAAGTTGCTATAAGCATTGTACGTCTGTACTTATATTTAAAATCCAGAAAAACGGTAATATTTACCCTAATTCAAATTTCGACAAAATTTATTATTTTTTTTTTGCGACTTGAAAACGAATTACCGTAAGTAGAATAAGTACATGAATTTTCATCAAATGTTTATATTATCGTTTTTTATTTACGATGAAGTTTTCAAAATATTTAGACATATTTTAGACATAAGAATTGTTCAGTTTTTTTTAGTTTTTTTTTTTATAAATTTGTTGGTAGAAAAATTCTTGAAAATTGAATACAAATAAACCAGTGTATTTGTGCAAGATTAGTTGATAATGATTGGTCATTAGTAACATTTTAATTAATTAAATCATTTATGGTCTATGGGAGTAAGTTTGGCACAATTTTTATTTATCAATTTTATGACAAATAAACTCTCCGTTCTATACGTGATTAGCTTCATCTTTTTAAAAAAATGTAATCAATCAATTTTTAATAGTTGAAATGTTAACTATTTTTTGTCTATGAACTTTTTAATGAAATAAACCACGATAACTGTTATAAACCGCCATTCTTATCAATCGTTAACGTAATGTCACTTTTATATTAGTGTCTTAAAACGTTAACCAACAGTGACGCAACTTGATAATAAGGGGTTAGAGTGGAAATTTCTGGATTGAGCCCCTTATCTGCTAATAAAATATATGAAAAACAGTCATACCTTATTATAACTCTAAAAAATATTGTTTTCTCACATGTCATAGTTATAATAATAAATTGTTATATTTTTTTGTAAAATAAAATATAAAAATTAACTTTTCTTGTTTTTACGGTAGCAAGGTCATTATCTTTTTTCGTTTATTCCGGTACCTATACTGTAATACTGTATACGGCTATACGGTACACAGGTTTCTTACATAAGTAATCGTAATTCGAATTCTTTAAACTCAAAAGAGTGAAGACATTATTATTTATTATATCAAAATAAATAATATAATTATATAATTTATATTACAGATTATTTTATAGGAGTATTGTAAATGAGATGTAGGAGGTCCTGTGTATTGCACACCAAACACTCGATAATTGCGGCACTGTTAACGAACCACGTGCTGCCGGCATCGGCGCGACGCGACGATCTTACGAATTAATCTGACTAAACGTATTGATAAAATGATAAGCGATATCGTGATAACATTAGTTAAATTACTGACTTAGTCGTTGTCCATAGAAAACAAAACTTACGATTTACGAATCTAATAAATCAAATCGCCAGTCATCAATTCATCACATTACTACACAAAGATGGATCTTTTGAGCAGACAAGGACTGAGGACGGACGGTAGGAGGCCTGGTGAGTTGCGCAGGATTCGTTGTAAGATGGGTGTTTTCAATCAACCAGATGGTAGTGCTTATTTAGAACAGGGCAACACAAAAGTTGTCGCAGCCATCTACGGACCACACGAAGTATGTATTTTGATTGGTTAATGATTTTCATCCGTCCATTAGATATCGTTCATAATTCTGTACGAGTTGATTAGCGTTTGAGTCATGATTATAGTCTACTCAGATGTGTCCAAATGCTTAGAGAAACTGATATTCTGTCGTTTAAAAAAGAATTTTTTGTTGAGAATGACTCAGTAATATGTATTTAGATTCGAACCAATAGATCTAAAGCTCCCAACAATTGTGCGGTGATCAACTGTCAATATAGTATGGCCACATTCAGTAGGAGTGAACGTAAACGGCGACCTAGAGACAACAAATCTGCTGAGCTCACTTTGCATCTCAAACAAGCTATGGCTACAGCAATCAAAACTGAACTTTATCCTAAATCTCAGATTGATATTTTTGTCCAGGTAAGTGTTATGCACCTGTTAAGATTAAAAACTGAGTATAAATTAAGTTAAATTAATATTTGTACTAGGTCTCCATTACATATTAAAACTATAATAATAATTTCTTAAAAAATTATTAAGGCTTGAATTTGTGTTGAAACATAAAATTGATATGTATTGATAAGTGATGAACAGATTACTAGACGCTCATTGTTATTAAGTTTTAATCATTATTTTGCATATTTCTCTATATTTTATTCCATGTACTTAAACAATATTAAGAAATTATTTTTTAATTCAAGTAATAAAAATTATACCTTGTTAAATTGATTGCATTTTAGATTTATTGTTGTTATTTTTGTGTCTTTTCTTTGTTAATTTTTTTATTAATTTAAGGTTTTACAATCAGACGGTGGAAATTATAGTGTATGCGTTAACGCAGCTACATTAGCCCTGATAGATGCTGGAATTGCTATGGAAGAATTTGTAATTTCTTGTACATCAAGTTTGGCCAATGGAGAAACACCATTGGTGGATATTAGTCATCTAGAAGAGACAATGGGTGGACCCAGTCTGACTGTTGCAATATTGCCAATATCTGGAAAGGTATACACATTTGCTTTATCTTAAAATGTATTATTGGTTTGTTATTGAACATATTTTATGAATTAAAACCTCAGATTGCTATGCTAGAAACGTCACAAAGAATTCACATCAATCATTTAGAACCTGTGCTATCAGAAGCTATTCGAGGGTGTCGCTATATATATGAAAATTTGAATAAAATCATAAAGAAACATTATGAAGAAATTGGCGGTGCTTCAAATTGGGGAACTGAGGAATACAATATTTAACTTACAAATGCTTGACTGACATAAAAATTGCATGTTAATACTTGATGTATTGTTATATATTTTTGTATTTTTTTTATTGAATGTAAAAATGTGTATAATAAATTGTTTTTTATGACAACAATTACTTTTTAATAAAAAAAATAAAAAAGCAGTTCTGCAATGTTGAAAAACTTTTTTGTTGTGATAAACATTTAAGATATTTTTGAAAAACTCATTGCTCAATTAAAACTAATTAAATATGGTCATTGTTAGATTAAATTTCAATTGAATAAACAAAAGATCTTAATTAGCAAAAATTAAAATATTGATTATTTTTGTTTTAAGATTTGAGTTTAGTATGCAATTTATTTAAAAGTTTAAAAATGAGTTTACTGGTGAAGTAGTTTTATCTTATTTTTTAAACTGTTTAAACTTGAATACATAAAACTATTTACCTGGATGTCGCTTCTAACCTATTTTCACTAAATTAATAAAAAAAAATTTCGTTTTCATTTTACATCAAATTAGAGAAAATTATATTTCTTTTCTACCTTATAAAGATTATAGGTATAATTTTTATTTTGGGACTAAAATTAGGTTAATGTTTAATAACTAATTATATAGTATATGATTTTTTTTTTTAAATAAGCTGATAACTTAAAATTTCTATTGTTAATGAAAATTTACTTTGCACATCTTATACTTACTCGTTATGATTGATTATTTAGTTTTGTTCAAAGTATTAAACATCAAGATAAAAAGCAAACACTGTAGATTAGAATATTATACAGTTGTTGGAAAAAAATTAAACTTTAGAATAGCTTAAGCACAGTATGATTTTTTTGCTATTATAGATGATTGAATAGAATATATTTATAAATTAATGAAATAAAAAGTGTATTGGGTTGGCCAGATTTGTAATTAATTATAGTTTAACAAAAAAACAAAACATATTTATTATAAGCTTTATTCATAAATGTGCAATTGAGAAATAATATTCGTTGTTGTATTACTTAAACTAAGATAGAAAAAATTAAAAAGTTATTACTTATTAGTAGGTAGTAGTTACAGTGGAGTTAAGAGGGATCAGAAGATGCGGGTAAACTTAGACATGTTTGCTTAGGAGGTTCAAAGTAATATAATGTTTTGCTTTTAATAATTTATGACATACTGATATACTATTAAACTATTTATTTTTTATTTTTTTGTAATTCAAAATTATAATTAATATAAATAAAATTCATAATATTAATAATTTTGAATTATCATTAATATCATACCAGTATGTAGTCTGTATGCAATATGCATGATCATGATATTATATAGTTATATATATTTATGTTATAGTGGTGAATCAATTAGAATTTTATAGTTTTATCAATATTATCAATACTATTAACGTTGAACGTTAAGGTCTATTCCTAGAATATATTTATTAACATCAATGGTTTACTGGGCGGCTATATTAACCATTATAATATGATTTTGATATTTTAAATCTTTATTCTTTACTTCTTTGGTTTGTTTGTAAAGTTTGCAGTAGTCAACCAGCTTAAAAGTAGACAGGTAGGTAATAGATTTTTTTTATTCATATGACGATATTCTGTTCAACGTGATAAGACTGAAACAATAATAATATTATGTTAGGTGATACTATATACTAATATAGTCAATTTCCAAATTAATCAATGATGATACAATATTTTGTAGGTTTGAAAATTTAATTGCATGATTGGTAGATAGTTTGTAAATATACGTATGTCATATTTGTAATATATTATGTCTGTATTTAAAATAAAAACAAATATTTCTGAGATCAGATTTTATTTTATCCCAACAATCGTATACAACTTCTGAACGGATATGTTACATTTAAAATATTAATAAGCTGTAAACTGCAGCAAAAGAGAATTGATTAAGTAAGATATTAACAAATCAAAACATCTCATTGTATATAGGTATTTTTGTTTTTTATAACGTTTAGTAGGTAAATGGACGCTTTTCATTATTGAAATTTAAATTTTTTTTCGTCAGGAAACCGTAATATTTTGTATACTAAACAACAAGTACCAATTAAAAATTAGGTGTAATAACTTAATACATTAAAAAATTAAAAAAAAAACAACTAAAACATACTAGTCCAATAAAACGTTTATATACAAAATAGTAATCTTATTTATTAATATATGTATATATGTATATATATATATACTACCTAAATCGGTACTGTACACGATTCATAGAAGGCAGGGACAGAGGAAGTTTGCCACAAAAATCTCATTAGGAAATGGTATAAACGCTTATTTAATCATTTCAAAAAAAAAAAAAAAAAAATCAACGGGTCACGATATTTATCCATTTATAATAAATAAATAATAATAATTTACATTAACAATAATCCCTCAAATACAGCTCGAATACTCGTATTATGTATTATAAATTAGTATATTTAATAACAATGAAAAATAATAAAACCGTCTTTGCCTGCGGGGGTATTGTTATAATTTGAGCATTTGAAAATGTACATGGTTATTATTTTGTTCTGCATTTTTGAGATATTAATGTCAGTCGACATAATAAACCTATTTAATTGAATGTAGGTATCATGTTATGCACAAAACGCATGATTTGTTAAATATTGTATTCGAGGGAAAGTATTCGTATAGGTAGGTTTATACCTAATATTATAATATAGACAACCGAGAAAGAGTGAACGATGTTTTAGTTCGAAGAACCAACCACAACAAAAGTTATTTTAGAGCGATTCGAATTGTTTATTAAAAAGTTTGTACAGGATTTAACGGATTATACACACGGAAATGAATAGTGTTATGCTACTCTTATGTGTGACCGCGATGTATAATATGATATACCTATTATTTTATTGGTAAGGTGACAAATGACAATCGAACTTTAATAATATTTCGTAGGTACCTAACTTCTATTGTTTTCACGTGCGCGCGGTGTGCCGGATTCGTCGTAACTACATTTTTTTTTGTTTTTTACTCATTAAGTATACCTATATATCATATAATCAATAATAATTAATAATAATAATAATGATGATAATAATAATAATGATAATAATAATAATAATAATAATAATAATAATAATAACAAAACAAAAACAAAATTAAATGGAAAAAAAAAATCAACATCCATAATATTATAATATACTCAATAGACACAATAGGTATATATTATATATATGTGTGTGTGTGTGTGTGCGTGTGTGTAAATTTGGCATCGTTTAAGACTAGAACGATACGGCTTACGAATCATCGACAATAGTATCGTACAATAACATTACGTATTATTAAATATATTGTAGGTAGTTACCAACAGTAATAAATTATTGTAATATTATCGTATTATGCGGCGGGGGGGGGGGGGGGCATGGCGCGATGACGAAATAATGTTTGCAACTGAATTCGGTCATTGTCGGGTGCGAAAGGATGGAACGACACACAACTCTATTTGACTGTAGAATTTTTTCCGCGGCCCTCGTCGTAAGAGGCGTCTGAAACTCTGCAAACGACGTACGAGACGACGCGTAGACGTTAAAAGAACGATAATTGTCGCGTTACGCGGGTGGTGGAGCGGGGTGCCGCCGTGGTTACCGAGTTCCGTGCGTGTATACCGCGGTCGGAATCAGTGGCGTTACAGCGGCACGACGATTATTGTACCGGCGGTGCCGCGGCGGCCGAGGACGCGATGATTGCAGCACCACCGATGTTAGCGGCGGCAGCGGCAGCGGCGGCGGCCGCGGACGGTTCGATGCCGGTCTCGGAGTCCGGACTGCCGTAACCGCTCGATCCGTCGTCGACTCTTCCGCCTCCGGCTCCTCCTCCACCGCCAACTCCTCCGCTACCCACGACGACCGTTGATTGATGTGCAGACAGCACCGTAGCACCGGCTGTTGCAGACAGGAACTGGTGGTGCTGTTGCATGTGTTGGTGTTGCTGCACATGGTGTTGCTGTTGTTGATGCTGCTGCTGCTGCTGTTGTTGCTGCTGACCCGATGCTGGCGATGCTGTTGCGCCGCCGTAACCGATGACTGCGGTGTCGTATGGTGGTAAAGGTCGCCGTTGCTGTTGCTCGACCGAGGTGGCTCTGCACCGGTCCACCTCGTCGGTTGGTCCTACAACGTCTCCTGCTGTTGCTGCTGTTGCGTGGGCGCGTTCGTTTGCCGCTGGCTGCTAAAATGACAAAACAGAAAATCCGAGTTGAAAACACGTGTCAATGATCGTTTGCGGTCGTGTTAGTATTCAAAATTATGTTATCGACAGATCGACTGGAAAACGCCTATATGAAGTATCTTATGAGTTCATGAAAACTTGGTGATCGATCGGCTCGAAACCTTATCCCTGCGTTTATCATTCTATAGGTACTATATAATAAATATGTGTGTGTGGCGACTATAATAACGAGGAATTCCTTATTTTTACTTTTTAGTTTTTAGTTTTTTTTTTTAAATATTATTTGTGATTTCTTCTCGATTTAGGTCTGTGTGTATGTGTTTGTTTGTGTGTGTGTGTATGCGTGTGAGTATATTAAGAGTTCATTGGAAGGTTGTACGGAAATGTATAATGTGAATCTGTGGTTATATAAATGTAGGAAACTCATTTATGTAATATAATTCACTTGTTAGCTTTTATTTATGCAAAATATTTGACGAAGTCTTCAAATCGAGTTCGGACTAAAATTGAGTCATTTTTGTTAGAAGTCACAAACATATGTAACTTATTGCATATTGATGACAATATCGTCAATCAAAAAGATTTTATTGTTACTTTTGCAATAATAATACATGTTTCACCTAACGGATTTTACATGTTTATATTAAAAAAATATATATATTATAAATTTGAACATCACGAGCTACAAGAAATGTTGAATGTTAAGATAATTTTAGTTTAGAACAATACACGAAATATGACTAATAATATAATGTTATAATTATTTATATATTATATCAATAATCCTCGCATCAGTAAAATATAATTAATCTTCAATATAACATTTCGCGTATTAATTTATACAATGAATCAATAATTTGCGAGAAGGTAGTGAGTGGGAATATTTTAATTATTAATTTTTTAATAACTGAATTTAAAAGTTTAATTAATTTAATTACTAAAGATTTTTTATGCCATCATTCTCTTGTTTTGTTTTAAGTGGCTTATAATAATTAGCAGAATTTTAAATTATTATAAAACAAAATAATATTTTTTTATAACTTAATGTATACAATCGAGAATGTATAGAAAGTAAGCTAAGAGTACAATTTCTTACAGCTCCTCTATGATGCATGTAGTTTTTGAATTTATTTACCCTATGGAATACTTTAAAAACCTTTACATTTAAACGTTTTTATGTTGATAAGTAATGTGCACATTCGGGTGCATATACGAACGCCGTACATACTACGTATAATGGTAAAAAGTTGTTTTATATGTTATGCGATGCATTTTTTATGATATTTTCAGAGTCAGAAAGTTCCATTTATATTGCACGTGCATAAATGTGCCTGTCAGTTTTGTGAGTACTCTAGCTATCGCAATTATTAATGTAGGATCGTAAAATTTTAAATTGAAACACAGTCGTCGTCTAAATACCTACATCGTGTAGTTTTGTTATTGCGATGTTGTACAATTATCATTAATATCCATCGATACAGGTATTCAACGCGTTTGCATAAATTAAAATGAATGTCAATAATACACAGTGATTTACTAAACATGGTCACCGACATTTTAGATAGAGAGCGGGAACGGATTTTTGTATTGATTTTACAATGGAGAGTATTTTTGTGAATGTGTACACGATTTATAGTAGAACTATTTTATTTTCAACTTTGAATATGGTGTACTAATGACATAGAAAATTAGATCTAGATGATTTTTTTGATTGGTTAAAAATGCAAATTCCCATTTTTTTTCAAAATAATCAAGAAAAAAACTGGAATTTTTTACATAAAACAAGTTTTTGACAAAATCTAGTTTTTTTGAAATAATGCGTAAACGTAAATAATTTTTACATTCACTTTTTTATAAATTATAAAATGTTTAAAATATTTTGATATTTTTGAACGATTTACAGATATATGTAATTTTTGATATATCTTTTAGTTTTTTTTCCTATAAATATCGATGATAAACATATTTTCGCTTAGTTAAAAACTTCTAAGCTATACGTTCTTTGTATATCAATTACAAAGTATTTATATTAAGTATAAAGTTATAATATTTTTTTATAAACATTTGGGTACTAAAATTTCTAAAAATAAAATTTTAGATTTAGAGAGGAGTGATGAATACATTTTTTATATGGAAACCACCCTTTTTTTCTAGTAAATTGTTAAGCAGATGTATGATTTGAAAATGTTTAGTATCTAAATTGAAATTTGAATAGTAATAAGTTTTGAATTATTCAACTTTTTGCATTTAAGTTAATATAGGTACATGATAATATGTGTGGAAGTATGAGGATTATGATTAATTGATAATAATTTAAGTAGTTAATATTATAGTCTATTAACACTTTATAATTTATAAAAATTATTTGAGTAATAATAGGTAACTACTGTATAAAATAATATTACATTAATTTTTTATTAAACTTTTTTTAAAGACTATTATCATTATTAATTAGTATTTAATATATACTCATTTATTTATCATATTTTATTTTATTTAAAAACCACGTTTCAAAATTTTGAATTAGATGTATCAATATTTAAAAAAAAAAAAATAATAACAACTTATAATTAAAATATTGTCTTTCGTATACAAAGAGAAGTTATGTATTACTATTGAGTACATTTTAAATGATATTAAAAAAAAATTATATTTGAAACACTTAGTATTTATCGACTTTAAGTACTTGTATACTTATAATTATAAATTCTAAAAATTAAAATTTGATGAACAAATGGAAAAAATGAAGGTGATTCAGGTGTTTGATGAATCATTCTGTAGATAATAGGTAATATCGTAGCCCTTAGGAATGCATAATCGAGATTTGTCAGCGAAAACTGTTGCGGGATGAATGTCTCTACTGGGAAATACGAGCTCTCTTGTTGATTTCACACAAAACCACGTACTCGAACTTGATACATAAATAAAGATCCCTATATCTAACACGGCTAACACCTGTACCTAATATCTAGCCTATAAACCGCAGATAAACTACTTAGTAAATTTAATTATTATGTACACAGAGCTTTGGAGACAAATTATTTATCGAGTCGGAACATACTTATGCGTGTGTAAAAGCAAAGTTAAAAATTGACGGATTTGAACGATCTAGCGTGTAGCATTACGAAACTGTTACATATTAAATATTAATGCCTAATACAAAGTATATAAGCGAAACTGAGACGATATAGAGCGGCTTTGCAGAGAGGCGGGAGAACAAAGTAATTGTTAAATACACACGAAGATTTATAGGCCAGGTAAATATATAGACTATAATAGTATATACATAGTATAGAACCTATAGGCTATAACGAAATGCTGTGTTAACATATTCGGGTAAAATTTAAATGGTATTTTATACCTATTAAGAAAATATTAAATAGATATTTCTGATATATAATCGTAGTTTTAAACATATATTATTTTTTTTTATATATATATAACCTTCGTGACTAAAATCTAAAATAATTAATTTTGATTAAAAATCAAATTAATTATCATTAAAAAATAAAACGAGTTCAATTCGAAAACACGAATTCTTTTTATAAACCACAAGAAAGTATTCTTAAAAAACACGAAAATGTCCCGTTTGAACTACCGCCTTAAACACAGCATCACTGGATTTACTCGTATACGTCTTGGGTACGCGAGTAAGTGTTAAAGTGCTAGTTCGCGCGTGTGTGTGTATAATGTGTATGTGTATGTGTTTGTCGAGTTGCGTTGTGGTGCGAGTATAGGGCTGCCCCATCGAATGTCCTACCTGTAATCTACTGACTTGCCTTCTTATGTGCGCCAGACTGGACGAGTTGTACGTGGCCATGTTCGCGAACACCAGTCGTTCCTCGTAATCGTATTCGCACAGGATCTTGTTCTCGCACAGGTAAAAACGATCGCCCACGCAAAACCTGTAAACATACGACCACGTTGACGTCATTAATGTATTATATTATATTAGGCGCGCGCGTAATTAAAGTGCAAAACGTTTCGCATCGTCTCGACACGCCCCGCACGAACGGGCAGACGCGTTACGACCGCGAGTGTCATATAATGATGTAATAACGTCGTACAAACGTACACGGTTTATATTTTAAATCGTGTATAATGATATTGTACCATAATGTACACGATGCGAATTTAATATATATATATATATTTATAATTTATTATTGTTATGTTTTTTTTTTTTTTTTTTACCTATGATTACACTGTTGACACGCGAAACACTCTAAGTGGTAGACGTTGTTTTTGGCCCTCATCACCATCTCGAACGCCGGTATTACCTTGTTGCACGCCGCGCAATTGCCGGTCGCTCCGAATAACCTGAAAATTACATTAGCCTTACATGAATATTATAATATCGTGTCGGCGATTAAGTGACTGCGGCGGGTTTTGTCCGTGTAAAATAAAACGCACACACTCTCTCGTACGTGTACTCTTTATACCTACGCGCGCGCGCGCGTGTGGGTCCGTTATTCAAAACCCCGTTGTGGCGGACGGCTGGCCGGGGGTGAGTGCGAGGAAACGGAACGTATAAATTTAGGATAAAAATTTATTCGAATAATATTATATACGATAATAATAATAATAATAATAATAATTATAATATCGGCTATACACATATTATATAGGTATATACGTTTATAATATTACCGTTCGTCTATATTATATATGCATATGTGTATGTTGTGTAGACATATACCTGATACATTGTATAAGTTATAAACGCTGATAAACCGAAATGGATTTTTGACGTTTAATTATTAGACGCGAGCGTAGTAGTACCTATGTACGTGTGTGGTGTATGTGGTGTGTGTGTGTACGGGTACACCTTCTCTTTTTGACCCGGCGCAGAATATCATAGAATATTATAATAACAGTATACATTAATAAACTATAATATAATTTGTATTATACGTCTATACCACACATAAACCGTACTGTTACTTTGCACAACAGATGTTCCCGTTGTAATAATATACCGAACGCCGAAACGAGACGCATTTTTGATACACATAGCGGACCGACCACGTACGTCGACGCCTCTGGCCAGTATTATCTCGTTATAATCTATACACATAATACGGATACTGAGATATAATATGTACAAATATATTATAATGTATACAAAACATGTGGACGTATACATATTTGTATATATAACACCACTTTCCAGTATAAGTATATTGCGTCGTCGTCGTCGTCGTTATTGTATATGCGTTGCATAGACTTTACAAAATTTTTGAACAGAGTCGATTTATATGTTTCCTCGTGTTGATGATAAGAATGCCCGGACATTAGGTTTTTAATTTTTACTGATTTTTACCTCAAGACGTGTCAGGTCGTTTCGGAATTATAATATATGTATATATAATAACAAATTTTAAAAATATAAGCTTTTATTTTCGAACTGGTCCGAGCAAAACATAAATCAACGAATTCTATAGCTGTATAAGTTATAATATAGAGCGTAAATGATATAGATACGAAGAAAATGCAAAAGAAAAGTTCAAGAATCTAATTCATACGACCGCATCATTATTTTCTTATCTATTATTACCTACACATATTATATGTTTTTGCTCATTATTATGTACGTTCGACTAAAGAAAATTCTAATTTGTAATTATATGCATTGCATACGGGTGCATAAATAAATAATAATATAAATAATTTCAACAATTGTTCGCGTTTCCTGTTGGCTGTTGACTGTTGTATGTTTATATGCGTTGATAAAAATGATGAAATTTCATTGTATTAACATTTGATTATCAAACAATAAAAAAAAAATAACATACCATACGAATATTAGAAAAATTAATGATTCTAAAATCTGGTGGAAAGATGTTATTATTTATATTCGTTTCGCGAGGGACGGTAACGTAATATTCGTTCGTTCAAACGCAACAACGACGACAATATATTGTCCGTGTCCATTCATTAGAGAGAAGTTTGCGAATGACGAAGTCTCGTCCACGCGCCGAGAGGGGTGTGTATCTGGCATCTTTGTGTGTGTGTACGTATAGTTAAAGGGGTTGTATGTATATGTATAATAATAGTAAAACAGTCGGCCTGCCCCATTTCTATATATATATATATATATATTTATATATGTATTAACTTGGCTGGATAATATGTGTGTGTGTGTGTGTGTGCTTATATATGTGTGCAGATTGTGTTTTCCGTCAGCAGCAGAGAGTTGACTTTTGTGCCGGGCCAAGCAGCGGCGTTTTGGCCGACATACGGTTTTAATTAAATTCAACAGCCACCGACGGGCCATGGAGAAAGAGAGAGACAGTGAGTGAGCGAGCGTGTGAGAGAGAATAGCCCCCCTCTCCTCCTGCCGTCGTAATTTCCACTTTCCGCGATCACTTTCATAAACGGATTTAATTGAATCCGGAATAGGTGTCTCTCCTCCCACGCACTCGGCGCCCATTCGACGCTATCCTCTAGACTTATTTTTATTTTATTTCCATTGCTGATAATTCGGCATTCGCGCTAATTAAACCCTTTCCCTTCACCAGCGTCACCATCTCTATGTCTTCCTATTGCACCATTTATACTCCCACTGTGTATGTATATATAGAAGAAAAACGACAGAACAATACGATTGCGCTGTACCGTAAAGCTTTTATAGCATACGTATACGTATAGTAAGTTGTAATAATAAACTTCTGTCCGTTTGTATAATTATGTCATATAATACATATACACAGTGGACAGGGAACAGAAATTACATTTTCATTTACAGTCGTTTACGAAAATCCCTGATTGATCAGCTATGAAAAAATTTACAGCAAACAATTCGAAGCAATGTTTTTCAGACGACGTTAATCAATGTTAATCAAAAAGAAGACAGTTTTCTATTGCACAATCAGTGGAAACCACGCGTTTAGATATCACAAGTGATTCTTTTCGATTTTATAATGCGGAATTTGGACGATTTTGTACATAATAGGTATAACTCTTTGACGGTTTGAGTCACATTTATTTAAACTTTACAACTAATGGGACTGTGGTACAGTATCTTTACCTAAGGTAGTCTCTTTTGCAGAGTATCAGGTTAGCTTTGGTGTACAACGTGGATCCAACTTCGCCTAAGCGACAGTCGCAGCAGCCACATTTGAGACAATCCTCGTGCCAGAATAAGTCCAAAGCTTTGAGCAAGAACCGTTCGGTGATGCGTTTGCCGCAGTTGGCGCACTCCCTGGCTATCATCGCCGTGCTGCCGTTCAAACCCGTTAACGTGGTCGCGGTCACTGTACCGCCGTTGGTCACCACGCCGCCGTTCGTTTGTTGATGTTCTATAAAAGATAACGATAAAAAATAAATTATTTAGATTATATCTTTAAAATTTTCTTACAACTACGGCGTGGGAAATATTATTACGAAACAATAATACTAACCAAGCGAATATCATCCTATCATATTATGTCATATACAATATTTTGTATAAACCTAAACAACTCACAGATTATGACAAAGTACACGGAATCGTATTTTTATTTTTTAGATAGTACAACAATTTTAAGTTGGGTAGTTGATTTAATTAATAAATTATTGAAATATTATTATCAGAGAGTTATTACGGTAGACTAAGTCCGTTTGGCAAAACTTACAAAAACTAATTATGTAAGCAGTGGAAAATATACATAGCATTATTACTGTTCATGATGGTTTGTATTGATTAAACTTATTCAATAATAATATAATGTACGGTAATAATAATTGATTATAATATATACGTTTATCGATTTAAACGCTATTTATAGATAATTTATATTTTCAAAAATATGTTAACTCATTTATATGAGCTGTGTGACCTTTTTGATTTTATAACAAATAATAATATTTGTTAATATATTTTTATTTTTATTTTTTTAATATCATTTAATAACCTATTTTATTACGTAAAATAAATTATATAATGGTAATGTAGAACATTAAAAAATTGCATTTATTTCAAACGATTAGCTTACAAAAAAAAAAAGAAAAGAAAAATAAGCAATTACAATTGAAAATTTGTTTTGCAATTTGCAGTGATATTGTAACTAATGAAGAGGAAAAAACGACAGTATATATAATATATATGTTGAAGCAATGCTGTCATATCAAAGTAGCGTAGTAACATTGTTCGAAATTTGCCGAACAAAATATTGCAAATTAAAGTACACAATGTAGAGGTTTCGTCTGGGCTCTTTAATTACGTGCCGGCTAATTTTTATTTTTTAATAAAAATTAATATCATGAACTGCGCTTGTAAAACAGCGGCTCACCCGCTGCCACCTTCTCTACACGCTGCACGCCATAACATTATGCATCATCCGTCTTTTCAAACTTAATTTTAAACTTCTCATAAACGATGCTCTAAACTTATTTCATTTAAATTTCATTTAATTTGTATAGATATATACATCCGATTCCCGCGCCCGACGAACATCATCCTCCAGACTTTAATGAATTTTACTCGCCACTTCCCTCCACCCATTCGACCGTCCATCAATTTAATCCCAAAATCGACTTAATGAAAGTTCCGCTTTCTTCACTTCTACTACATCTTGCGAGACACGACAATACTTAAAGCTGTTTTACAACGGACTTTTCCCCACATTTTCTCTCCATCCCCAATACTCACCGTCTATATATATATATACAACGGTTTCATCGATTACGAAAAAAAAATTCAAATTACTGGTAAATTATTTTACAATTGTGCATTTACTTACAACCGCAGTCGTTTTGTGTGTGTGGGTAATTTTAGATTCGATCAACATGGTAATATTATTCAAGCATAATCAATTTAAAGTCGAGTAGTGTATATATTTACTATATAGGTACATTATACATTTTAACATTAACCGGGATAGGTACACGTTATACACACATTAATATATGTTGTAATAAAGTTTGGTGTTTACTGTGTATTGACTATATATAATTTACGATTAAATCTGTATTATCTATACGATTATCTAATGTAGTAACTAGAATTTAGTACATAACAAGTGAAATAAATAATTATTTAAAAAAAATAATATATTTAATAACTTATAAACATAATATTATTACTATATCTGTACGTGAATGTTTGAGTATATGTAGACACATAGTGGTTAAAGAATAAAAAAATGATTTATAATACACTTGAATAATACAATAACAATAAAAGAAAAAATGCTACGCGCTTTTGAATAATGTGACGCGTTTCAACCATGTATTAGGTTATTCGACGATTGTCATAAAGCATAATAAAAAGCATACAAAATGCATTCAAACGGCGAGAAGAATGTACGACCACTTAAGTGAGCGGTTCTTTTCTTGCAAAAAAGCAAAGAGTGTAAGCTGAATCGGTAAAAAAAAATTGAATTAAAGAAAACGAAAAAACTTTGATCAGTCGATAAGACGGCTCTAAAAGCATTTTAAAACGTGAAAAAAAAATAATTTAATTTATTTTATTTATTCTAAAATATTACAAGGTCTTTTCGTATATGAGCGTGTGGCATTTTGATGCCGGCAACATAATAATCCACTTACCGCGGCAGATTTTGCCAATAATAAAATTTTGCTGGCCATGGAACGCGTATATACTTATATATAGTTAATGGAATCGTTTTTTATTGCGCTTTGATCGAGATATCTCTTTCAAAATAAGTCTCGCGCGATTTTTCTTCCCCTTTTTTCGTTAAAAATAAATAAATAAAAATAATATAATTATGTTAAAAAAGAAAAAGGATTTCTGTCCTGTACGAAATAGTGGCTTTATATCCATTAAGCTTCCGAGGGGTTTTATACTGCCCTTAGGAGCCGGACAATCCGGGTACGAAATGGATTCCATAGTCGCGTTGTTTCTGCAGCAGCAAACGAATGTCACGACGTGGACGTAATTAATCTTAGTTTTTAACTAATTACCTTTCTTTATTTCTTTTTTTCCATCCCCTCACTTATCTTACGGGGTTGGGATTCGAAAGGGTAAAACGTGGAAAAACATTTTCTAAACCGTATTATTTCTTGTTGGTTTTTTTTTTTAATAATCCGAGAGAGCCTGTGGAGAGAAGGAAATTATATACTTTAATTATTTCTCTTTTTTTCTTTCCCACCGTCACTGCTACCGCCGATTTAATTAGTACGGTTAAAAAGAAAGGTTAACAGAAAAATAAAATGAAGCCCCTGCACACCACTTTTCACTGCAACCACCACCACCATCACCATCACCACCACCACCACCACCATCATCAAGCCAGGGAACATGCGAGGTATAAAGAGTAACAAGGGAAGTGATGATGTGGGGAAGAGACTAAAGCGGTTTTAATGATTTTTTTTCGCTCGGAAATTGTTAAAATTAAAATTAATTTTGTACAAAAAGAGAATGTATACAATAATAAAACGCGCTTAGAACTTTTTTCATTTCACCATCACCGGGCGTGTCGAGACACCTCTCTCCGACGGTTTGATGTGGCATCTGTGATATGGTAAAGTTTTAAAATTAAACAAACATTTTACGAACACGTCGTATATCATTTTTTTGTTACTTGTCCCTTTCTATCTTTACTTATATATATACGTAAATATATATTTAACGTGGTTATTTGTGTTTTTTTGATTCTGGTACGTTAAAAAAATATGCGGCCGTCAAATTTCTTCCTCTCCTATGGTTATTATTGTTATTATTATGAAATTACGACGAAAATGATTTAATTGCATATAATATATTTAATAACATTAGTTAATAATATTATGAACTAAGTTCGATTAAAGTAACAAAGTAACTACTCAAATAAACCTTTTACTTGCTTTATATGTATACAATAACTTTACACTTACATGGGTTTATAGAAAAATAAATAATTTATGTTTAGGTAACGGAATAAACTTCACTTTAAGACACTTAATTTATGTTCTAATTTATGTATACAAACAAAAACAATTTAATCGATCCGTTGTATTAACTAGAACAACGCGAAGAAGAAAAATAATATCACATTTATTTTTTATACTATAATAAGCTTAAAAAGTTTTAATTAAGCACACCGGTTTTAAATGAACCATATATACCTACGTTTTAATGAGCATTTAAATTATGCAAATACAATAATATTATATCCTACGCACAAACATTTTAAACGTAATGACATTTTAGGAAAAATAAATAAAATTTTAAACGATCATAAAAATTAAAAAGCGTAAGAAAACTTTCAAATATATACTCACAAGTACATGAGACGTATTAAATATGATAAAAAGTATGCTTAACAATAATATTTTTAAGATAATAAGGAAATCAACTTTGATAATTATTTTTATTGATTCGATGTACAAAAATATATAATAAATAAATTTAATATTTATAAAACCTAATACTAATGGATTATTGCATCATAATTGCTGCATATAATATGAGCTACTACAGTTCTCTTTACAAGACTGCGATAGTAATAATAAAAAATGTATTAATATAATATTCTGATTTTAATCCGTTAATGCACAAATCAAATAATTGAATCTATGAGATTTTTTTTTCTGTTCACACAGTGACGATTCCAATAATTTTAATGCATTTTTATGCTAATCGAAAAGTTTTGGAAGTAAAAAAAATAAAATAAATTCACCGGAAAAAGGTTTCAGCTCTGTTATTTATATTTTATTTACCACAATTTTTTGGTTCAGTAGGATAATGGAGAGTGTTTTATATTTGTTTTTCCTGCGTAAACGAAGACGGACAAGTCCCAATAGACAGGATAGCCAAAATATGCATATAATATATATATATATATATGTACATCAGAAGTAAAAACAAAACAAAATAAAAAAATAAAAGCTCCCAGCTAAATTATAATAGCAATGCTAAAAAGGTTTTACATTCGGATTCCATTTAGGTTTTGGGCCAGTCGAGAATAAATCCATCTTTTTTCCCTGCCCAATAGACAGGTTACACGTATTCGCTATTACTGCCGGACAACTGGAAAATAGACTTAACGCCGCAGCCATAGTTGCAACCACTTTCTTTCCCTTGTCGGGTGCGGGGTCTCTTGACGTTTTCAGACAGACTTACAAAACTTTGTTACTCTATATAATATATGTACGCCTTAGGCACCACGCCACAGCCACTATGAAGGTCAAAAATCTTCCGCCGTAGAAATCGGGAGTTGATAATCGACATTTAGTTTGAGAATAATATATTATATAACAGTGGTATATATCAGTACATATTATATACATAACAATAATAATCTGATCACGATGGCGTAAGGGTGGCGGCGGTTTGTCGGAGGAAAAAGCCGACCGCGTTAATATTAAACTATTTTAA